TATAAACCGGCACTTGACCTCAACTTATCATGACCCCACTGTATGTCATATTCAACCCATTCCACAGTACTCGCCTTACCTATTCTCTGCCTTTGTATCTCTGTCTGTCTCCTTTAAATCTTTGAATCATTATTCTGTCCTCCTCTAGTCTTTTGTCACTTTGATGTTTCCCCTCCTCTCTATCTTACATTACCTTTTACACCACCTTTGTGTCTGTCTCTTTTGCATCTGTTAATCACTTTTCTGTTCCCCACCACTAAACTTTTTGTGACTATGTTTCTCTCCTCTGTGAAGCTCGAAGTCAACTAAAGAGCTAATGATAACTATATGTATATAGGTATCATAATAACCTAACCATTAAAGGAGAAGTAGGGGGCGTGTTAATAAATTTTGGAAGTGAGAAAAATCTTAAGATGGTTTTTAAGTGCTCTAACTCACTGTGTCGAAACTTGCAAATTCCACTATCGGCATTGCTTGACGGATGTGCATATGAGCGATCTGGTGGGCATTTGCAATCTGTTCGACTATTTGTTAACCGGTAACAATCGCCTCCGTTTGACACACAATGCTGACAAGAATTCTCCTTTGGACTAACTCTAGGAACTACAGACACTATTAGAAAGGAGTGTCAAGGAATAAGGTAAAGTTAATCCCATTCAAAAATGCCTCCTCACAGCACTCATAGAATCGCAAAAGCTTCTGAAATACAGGAATATAATCCGGGGGACATGTACACGTTCCATAGGTCATGGCACCCCATTGCGCTTCCTCAATAATTCTACAAGTTGCTATAGGCGACCGACATCGTAAATCCTCCTCATTGCATAGGTCACCAATATCAGCTAAAAATTCATAAAATAGCTGAGTTTAGGCTTTATTAAAGCAATATATGTATATAATGAAAGTATAATCAAGGCGATACAATCTGACCACATAATAATAAGAAAAGGGACCCCGCCTCTAGAAAAGAGGAAAGTATCATAAATTGGCGCCAAATATAGGATAGACTAATCACTCTACTAGCTACTCTAGATATACCCCCCCCCTCCGGGATTTCACAACGCTGCGCACAGGAACAAGGAGGAATTTTGAGTATAATGAATCTTAATGCATGATTCCAGGTAAGTTAGTTTCTTTATAATTTCAATAATTTAAGCTTTTTCTTTAATATCAATAGTTATATTGATGTGGAGTATTTGCGAATCAATCAATGCAGAAATGTTATATAATTTAATTTGAAAGTTTGTTAAAAGTAAATTTTTTAAAAATGTTAACAGTTTAAGGCTTTGTCGATTAGTAGCCATTGTACTTTTTACTGAAAAATCTCTCTGGCGAACTTAACTGTGGGGTTTCATCGATTCAAAAAAACAACTCCACCTGTAATTTTTGTGCCGTTAATTCATTTAAAACAGCTTTTCTAAAAAGTGGATAGAAACTCTCAACTTAAATCTTACCATCAGTTGTAAAAACGTATAGCTTATTATTATTTGTTTTAATTGGACATTACCTTTACCGATATATATTGTCATGGTGTGTTTCTATACCCAATGTGCGAATATTTGATAGTTTCCAATAATACAGTTCACATGATGACTTCTAAGGGTCAGTTTCCAACGTCATCAGAAGTCTACTTCTCTTCTGTCCATATTTTCGAATCCGATTCGTATTTTGAAATTAAGTTATCCCAAAATACTCGTTCGGTAGTCTCGACATCTGGCTTGGCTCTATAAAACCATCTCTCATCAGTTAAACGTATCCATCACTTATTTCAATGCTATGGAAAGTACTTAACATTTAAGATTGATTATTAAGATGAATAGGCTATTGAAAGGATGTTATATTTTATTATGACGCGTCTTTTGAAACTGATTCTCTTGTGTGTTAATGTGTGAATCTCGATGGTTGGAATTAATTCCCACCTAATTGAGCTCCGCAGGTCCGCTGTGGTCTGGATGGATCACGAAACTGCGTATTTGTGCGAAGGTTTGGGCATACACAGCCATATCGTTCGAATTGTCTACAACGATAGACGTGCACACATTTCAATACAAAATTGTAATAAACAAGGTATTTGGCACTGAAAATAGCCAAAAACGTACGTCGATCCCTCCTCGTGTATATGATCGCCGTGTTCAAATGCGAAACAATCTCCGCCCTCCTGTAGACACGAGGCGCATATCAAACTCTTGCGATCGAAGAGCTTGGTTCCTAGAATAATTAGTATTTTTTCTTGAAGAACATTGAAATTAAGAGTAAGCAATTGAAATTTACTATATTTCTAAATTGTACAATGGATTTTAAACAGGCCCGCATATAAACTCGCTCAACCCCTATTTTCTCTATATTTCGTCATGAGCACCTGTTATCCATGCGTGGAACAGTGAAACAACGATATGGAACAATGTGCTTATGAGTGAAAGCAACTTACGACAAGCATTGATCTGTGGAACAAAGATGGTGTTTCCGGGACAAGTGCAATATCCAGCTCCTGGATGACAGCTGCTGCGATTCACGTGAACACAATCTGCATCCACTCGACATTTCAGATCGGTGAGTACTGAACAAATTAAATTAATTAGTTATAATTGTAATTTGTAGGCTGTAATAATATCATTTATTACAATAAATGAAGTTTGATCACATTCCACTACACTAGATGTCACTGTTATATACACTCAAGTGACCCTTAAGCGTTGGACATTTCAAGAAACTTGAATCGTGCCTATCAGGGAAGTATCGGTTTTATGAAAGGACAATTCTATGTGCCCCATTTCTTCAATTTAAAGTAATTCATATAGTCTGAAAGTGGCTCCAATAATGATCTTGGCTACTCATGCACCTTTAACTGATTAATATCCCAATGATGTACAGATCAGCTCGAGTGTCTGCAAAGTGAGAGATCATGCATCGAGTACTGCCCTGAACAGTTCTTCCAGAGCTTTTGACCAATCATTAGTCGAAAATTCAACTTCTCAATTAAGAATCCCACTCGCCTAATCCCGATGAACTTTTAAAACCTTATTTTTATAACTGTTGCCAATTCATTACACCAGTGACCTTTAATAAGAGATTGAACCTATGCTAAGGAACCAAAGCCGATTTTGGCATTGGCTGTCTTTTTGTCACTTAAAAGCCAGAAATTGTGAAGATTTGTCAAATATCCCAATTCTGCATCATGCATAGGCCAAACTAACTTGTAAGACCACGCTAATTTCATTAATAAAATTTTTGTCAAAAATTAACATTCAATTGCCTTAATTCCGATTTTCACTTTCTTATCATGGGCATTATTAAGGGGTGTGCGATAGACTTACCTCCACGTGGTGCACCCTGGGCAACGTATATTCATACGGCAAAAAAGTCTATTAACCGGCAGTTGACTTCTGACTTCAAAATACCATGGCACGACTGCTTGTCATATTCGACCGCTTCCACAGTACTCATCTTACCCTTTTCTCTGCCTTTGCGTCTGTCTGCCTCTTTTACATCTGTGAATCGCTATTCTGTTCCCCACCCCTCGAATTTCTGCTACTTTGATGAATCTTCCCTCTGTGAAGCCCGAAGTCAATTAAAGGGCTAATGATAGCTATCAAAACGCCTGCCATTTGAAATAAATATAAATAAATCATGGGCATTATTGATAGTTCATCATTCAAGTTTTTCTTATTCTTTCCGTGTTCATGCTCGACTTCAAGCAATATCGAATTGAATGCTACCAAGCAGTGAGTCCACATTAAGGAGAGAAGAACCCTCCGGTCAATCGAAGTAGTTTACTCCAAAACGTAACACCACTCAAAGCACGGTGATTAATCATAATCGAGGGCAGGAAGCAACCAATAGATGGGGTGCATAATTGAATTACTTGTCAAATTAGGCAACTCAACCGCCCCGTTCTGCACGACCCCTTCCCCCTCCCCCCCCCGCCTCCCTCTATCCTCCTTTTCCTAGTAGAAGGGGCAGAGGGGCCTATTCTTACACTCAATTCGACTTTTCTGTCCTGTCGTTATTTTTTGTAAAATATCAACCACTGACCTCCCACTTTGTGTTTGCTATTTCTTCCTTCTCTAGTGATTTCGGAAAATGTTGGCGACGCCCTTAAGCAAAGAACAATTCTCAGGATGCCAAGAGGAGGAATGAGTAGGCTGTGGCTTGTGTTTTTTTTACAACGAAAAAGATTATATTATATCCGCCTATTCTATGTCATTGTGCATCTTTTCTGCCCGTTAATTGTGATTTTTAGATTAATTTAAAGACCTATTCAGGCATATAATCTCTCTCATACTGCTTTCACCCCTTGAACTTAATGTTTTATAATTAATTCATTAAAGATTCATGCGGGAGAAGCCAACTAGGTTAAAAATTGTTCTAATGAAGACGTTTTTCCTACCAATTATAATAAGTAATTACAGTATTAATGATGATGATGATAAAGTTAAACAATGAGGTTAATTGAATTTGTAAGCTTAGTGGAAAGTGATCTTTGATCAAAATTCCTTCTTTTTTGTCAATATTGCACTCAGAGCAAGATACTTTTGAAATGGGCTAAAGTTTGTGCTCTCTGGGCTGGCAAGGGAAAAAGCAATCAGGGAGAAAATAGAGAGGGAGTTGATCCGTGGAAATTACTTGTTAGAATAGTAAAATTTTGTATTTTTTGCATTAGGAAACGAAACTGTATTCGATGCTGTGTCTAATGGATAGCATACGTGCCTCCATTCTCTGCATGCAAAATTCATATTTAACAATTTCTTAAGAGATCAGCTGCTAATGTTAAGTTTCGTCATTTAAATGATGAAAGTATATACCAGCAGCTTTGATAACGGCATTGCTAGTACTTGATTGAATGGACAAACAAAAACAAATTGAGCATTCAAAACTTATTGGAAATATCTGACGAACTCATGCAACACCACGGTATTATCATTGAAATTGTACAAATCCTTTGAGATTTGTTCTACTGCGCTTTTCATTAGCATCGTCGCGTTTTTTCCTGACAATGTACGCAAATTTAGTGAGGCGGTATAAGCTGTTTAGAGCTTTCGTATCGATGAGTATCAAAGTATCCTCCTTTGAATTCGCAAAATATAACAATTAATCCACTTTCCCCTCTGCTGTTATTAATTTGCTTAAAAATTTTAAATGCATATAAATGATCAATTATATATATATATATAAAATTATAATTATCAATTTTTATTCCTGATTTTTGGAATCGTTTAAGATTATTCAATTTTCGGCGCCTTCATCAAGATGGTTGGCTAATATTAATAAAGAAATCAGTAAGCGAGCAAACATTCGAATACCTTGAAGACGGAAAATGACGCTAGTCATTAGTAGTTTTAAAGTTGCTTGATTACTACTTGAGTGATACAACGAGCTTGAAAATAAGGGTGGGAAAATATTTATTTTACATGGAAACTGGAAACCTACATGTTTTACAGGCAACACTATCACCTTCCTTGACAGCGACGAATCCTTTCCGACAAAAGCATTCATTCTTGGCTCTGTTGCAGACCGAGTTCTTCACAATTCGATCGCAGAAATTCGGTGGCTCCTTATTGCAGGCTCCTGTAAAGACCAAGTGTTCATCACTGCATAATATCAAATTCGGTAGCGTGAAGACGACTATGATTAAAACTGTGAATGGCAGATAGAGAAATCCAGTCAGCATAACAGGCGACGTTATTTCATGAGATCCCATGAATTTCCTGTTATCAACCTGACAAGACTCGCACTTGTTCAATCCAAGTACTCATTGGCCGCAGTACTAAATGTCTACTAGTTTCTACCCAATGAGATTAAGGGAATTTTGGGATTGGTTCATTTGAGCTGTTGGCTGTGAAGTAAACTCTACTTATTCACTTGCTGTGACTGAATTATGCCCGCCGGATTTTAATGGTATTTTTTTCTATTGGAAATAATCGCATATTTGCGTGTTCAAAATCTTTACGATGGGTGTTAAAACGGTTCAGTGGAAATAATGTTTTCAAGCATGAGAGGCATAAAGTACTTTTTACTTTGGTTAAGTTCCAGTTAGAATAAAGATATTATTGTGATTCAATAATAGATAGGAATAGCATCAAATGCCTGGAACGTTTTATTTATTTATATAAATACTCTATGCTGTGTTTGGATCACAAAAAAGGGTAATATTTTTCAAATCAGATCATTAACCGGATCAAAGAAAAAGCACTTGGCACGATTATCATAAACTCATTTACCAATCCAGGAATAGTTCAAACTATTTGAAATGTGAGACTAAGAAGTTCACATTTTGTAATAAAGTAATACTTTATTTCCAAAATCAGGTAAAAGACAATTAGCCCGCATTTTCACCTTATTCTCAATTTATTTCGTTCTCTCAATTACTACTTGTTGAGAAAGGGCTCCGCCGTTGATCTTATTTTCTACTTCATGATGAAAGTTTATTTTACACCCGCGGGTTATAATATAGTGAAATGCTATCTTCATAATTAGCTATGACTTAGCATAGATATATTAAAAAAAACGAAGAAATAAAGGCACATTATATTATAATAATAAAATAATAGAGCTCAAAGAGAGTAAATTACCGCTAAGTCCAATTCTTAGCAAAATTATTCATTTTTCACCTAATTAATTACATGGTAAAACTTGCATATATTGAACATGGGCTACAAATTCATTTGATTTGTGCTAACTGGAGTAAATGGAGAAATAAGTCCAACCTTAGCCAAATAATCAAGAAGGTTTTTTCCGTACAATAAAAGTCGAACCTGCAATTGTTACCATTTTTATTGTCCAATTGAATCAATATCTTCTTTCAATATTATAATTCCTATTGAAATCAATTAAGTAGAGAGTTTTAAAACTGTACTTTTGCCGAATTTTTAGGGCTAACCAAATCTCTTTCACTGTTTATTATCTATAAAAAGTTAATTTTCCACTCTTTTTAAAAAACGCTGATTGTTACGTATCAGCGAAAACTGATTAATCTAAAAACTACCAAGATGCTGGAATTGATTTTTTCGCAAGACAACTTTTTGTGATTATTTTTCAAACTTACTTATTTGATTCTTCATTAAATTCTTCACGAAATCCAGTGATTAGTGATTGTTTTAATAATTAAACTAATTGGTCCTTCATTTTTAAATAGGATTTAACTTCTAATGACCATGCAAGCAGAGGGATATTTTATGAAATAATAGCATGTCAGAGCAGTTTCCGTATTTATTTCACTTTAAGCAAAATACTCTGGTCGTTGTTATTATTATTATCATATTTAAAAGATTTCTATCAAAATCCATGAAATTCTAAAAACTTTGATTGATTTTCCGAAATTTAGAGCGTTTTTTATGCAAACAGTGATTAAATGAATCGCGCTCTTTTTGTTATTTTTGGATATTTCAAATGTGACAATCAAAGGTCTGAATTTGTGAGATGAAAGAGGTAGAGTTAACTTAGGCGGAAATATGACCTTGATCGTGCAGTGAATTAAAAGAATGAGTAGCCTTCAATCGAGTTTTGGGAAATGGAAATTTTGAAATGATTTACCCATAGTAAATCGTTGTTTTGTCTGCACAAAATTTTGACACTAGGAAGTGGTATTTAAAATATTATCTTATCACTAGAACGTTCTCGATAAAGTCACGTTTAACATAAAGCATATGTAAAAGTCTCAAAAATGTTACTTGCAATATTGAAATAAATTTCTTCATTCTATACTGAATAGTGTATTCTGAGTGTCTACAAATGAAGAGTTAATTAAAATAGAAGCCGCTTAGTGTGAATAATATATGCATGTAAAATCATAGTCTGTTGAAGTCAGTCCTCCACAATATCTAAATTGGTTATTTTTGCTGAACAAAAAATTGTCAACAAGAACAACATAACATTTAGGGAAAAAACAGATATTTCCTGATGGATATAAGTTACGCTATATGTGTACGCATAAATTCATGTAGTAATACTTCACATGGTAATTAATGGAAACGAAATTTAGCACGTGGTTTATAACAGTCACCAAAGTCTGTATGTCTTCATTTTTTATTCCTCGTTTTTTTAGATTGGCCTGCTATGGTCATACGTCTGTGGACATAATTGAGGGAACAGTTGCAACTTGAACCCATGTGAAGCACTTATATTAGCAACATAAAGCACTTATGAAGAAACATCAGGCATTACCAATTAGAAAAAAACTACAACTAAAACTAGTTCCGAGCTGTAGATGAAGAAATTATTTGCAAATATACTGTAGAAGCACGTTGATTTATGAATAAAATTTTTAAAGCAAACATCTCAAGCAAACATCTTAAGAATTTCTTAGTGCTTCGATTAACCCTGTTTTTAAAATGCTCTGAATGAATGGGTAGGAAGTAATGAGCACGCATTCAATTTTCTCCAAAAAAATATCACATGAGTTGAGCAATCATAACCTACCTCATAAAACTATAAATCCATTTTGATATTTAATATTTACCCGAACTTTTAAGGCTTTTTTCACGGTGAAGAGAAATTAAAAATAGAAATTTTGTTTTATGCTCTTTCTTACTTTTCCTAATACGAAGGAAAAAATCGATATTTTTCTCAGTAACACTCATTACTTTGAAAAACACGGTGGCTTTTGACTAATTTGCATTGATAGGTTTATCGGTATTGCTGAATACTATTATGAAATTATATTGAAATTAAAAAAAAGAGAGAAAAGAAAAGGTAGTGTATAGTTTTGGTTGTGTGATAAATTACAATGGCACATTTATAACAACTTCAAAAGGAATTGCAAAATTCCTTCCAAGACTTTTGAGCCGAGCTTGATTTGAATGTACAGCAATTAATCTTTTTTCAATTCAAACTACCTAATACCTTATCAAATTCCTTTCTTTTGAAAACTTAAAATACTCTTGTTTAGGTGTAGGAATTACTGTACTTTTTCTTCAGTTAACACAATTTCAGACATTTTGCTTTAGCGAAATAAAGAAAATAATATGTTAATCCGATGTTCACTTTTTTTGTGATAACTTATGCATCATCAAGGCGTGAGACTAATTATTTCTTTATTGATTAAATAAATTTTCAAGTAAGTAAAAAGATTTCCGACACTTCATCCTTTACTTTTGCTAAATGCATATGACTATATGTGGAAAGGAAATTATTGAAGTGAATAATACTAGCAAAAGTGTCGTTATTTGGACGGAATGTTCAACAAGGACATCTAATACCTAATTTTCTGTTTTTCGAATCCCCTAAAATGCATGGTGGTTAAACACCACTGAAAGTCCTAATCTCGAACCCTCTATAAAATTCCCCATTGCTATAACGGTGGCTACGCATTCATGTATTAACTTTATTATTAAAAAATATATGTGATCGTTGACAACTTATTTGGACTAAACTGTTATTTTCAATAATATTATTTGATACTGATTTCAGGACTGAATATTCAAAACTTGTCAGAATACTTGAAAATATATTCTTAAGAGGAGTAAATTAAAAGTGGCTCACCAATTCCTAAATTCTGTCCTTTTTGGACAATGTGTGTATCATCTGCCAGAATTCCAGACATCAGAACAAGAATTGTAATGAAGAGCGACATGACGATGAAACCTGCAAAATGAAAATTAATCGTTTCGAATCATGAACGTACCCTGAAAACAGCAATAAAATAAAGTTTCTCTTATCAATCAGGTAAAAAATGTACTATTTGTAAAAGTAAGATTTTTAGATATGGTACCAATGGAAGTGGGAAGAATTCATCCCTTCAAAGTTGAATTATTTAAATTCATATCAATTATTGTCATTTAATAAGTCAAATATGTTTCTTGTTACTAGTTTGCATGAGATCTTCAGTTCATTCGCAATGCTGTGAACCAACTGAACCGATTTGCTGGACATTCAGAATAATCACAGTTTGCAATATTTCTTATTCTAGATTAGGGGTGTGCGATAGACTTACCTCCACGTGGTGTACCCTGGGCAACGTATACTCAAACGGCAATAAAGTCTATTAACCGGCAATTGACTTCAAACTACCAAGACCCCGCTGTATGTCATATTTGATTACTCCCACATTACTCGCCTCACCTTTTTTATACCTTCGTGTCTGTCTCTTTCACATCTTTGATGCAATCTTCTTTACCACCCCCCCCCCTTCTCGACTTTTTTAACTTTGATGTTCCTTCCCCTCTGTGGAGCCTGAAGTCCACTAAGGGGCTAATAATAACTATCAAAACGCCTGCCATTTGATGTAAATAAATTATTCTAGATTAAAACTCAGGATTTCCGAATAAAATTATTTTAACTGATCGATCTTTTTTTCTAGGGAAAATTTTAAATAGCCTCTTTTTCCATAATTACTCTTTGCAGTTTAGACAATTTCCACTTTTCCAGATAAATGGATTTTCAATTAATTATCCCTCAAGTCAAGTCGTAATTGATTTTTTAAGACAATTTGAGAAGAAAGCGACTCATAACGATTAAATAGGACTTCGTAAGAATTTGAGGATACAATATAGTCAATTATATTATCAAATAATTAAATGCAAGTGATTTTACAGTTTGATTGCTTTAAAACTAAAGTGATAATGTTATACTTTGATACTATTAGCTAACAGTGCTTTTAAACCCTAATTTAAATTAATAATGCAAGAAATAATCGAAAATGAAGCAAAATATTGATTAAGAATTCTTTGATTACGCTAGACTGCATTTTGTATATATTTGATG